CTTGAAACAGAATATAAGTCGAGTTGTGAGTGCGTGTGCCGGCATTAGATTACTACTCTTTCAGATTTTGTAAACTTGAAGTTTCGTTTTGCTTCAAGTTGTTGTCATAAACGTTTGTTTCTATATTCCTTTTTCTCCTTCGCACGAAACGAAACAAAGTAAAAAGTATTAACATTTACATGTAATTGTAGAAGTGTAAAAACTTTTTTAACTAATTTTTATTTTCTTTCTCTCGCAAAGATTTTCCTATGCATTTGTTCTTAAGAAACCGTACAATTTTACGCGTAATTTGCTACAGCAGAGCAGTGGAGTCTCTATGAAAGATCTTTAATAAATTTCTTAGCCGATCTCTGGATAAGGATAATCAAACAGCATTAAATCGATTAATCAGGCGAAAGACCGTTGACTGCTATGAAGGGATTCATAAAATTTAATTCTAAAGATCGTTTGAAGACATTACACTAAACATCCAATCAATTTCGTTGATTTCCTTCCGTCCAACTCTGTTTATTTGGCCCTTTTTTCCACTTTCTAACAAAAGCCTAAAAATGAATACAAAACTGAAACTCGCAACAAATGGTAAAAATACGTGTAAGCTTTAAAAGACTAGAAGGCGTTGCCGACATTAAATAGAATGGAATGAAAATGTGGATACGTTCATCCTAACTCCTCATGTCTAATCAGAAGCTTTCAGTTCATCTCATCTTATTAATGCACGTTGCGCACATTAACGCTTTGTGACGGGTCATGAGTATTGGATGCCTTACGCATATAACTGCTAAGCAGATAAAAATTGCTCGCAAATCGCAAGTTGCAAATTCGTTTATGAAATCTTTGGTGCTTTCCTCTGTTTTGATCCACATTACCCCTTCTGCTTAACCCTGGTTTCAACCACCGACTTTTGGTTTCTTTCAACAGGACAATACCAAAGAAATTGCTTCTTTTGTGGATAGCTTCAAAAGGGCGGACGTCATTGCTAGAGGTATGTTGGCCAGCGACAAACACAGCAATGCCCATCTAAAATACCCTAAAATTTATACGCATCCCTCATATAGTTGTCAAAGTAGAACAGAAACAAGAACTGACTCGCTTACTAAATAAGTCCACGAATAGCTCGAAAAATGTTAATACCTTTGAGATAATACTGAAAAAGAAAGGGAGAAAGAGGGAGAGGGGAGGCCCGTAGTCTTATGAAAAATTTCCCTGAAAATATACTAGAAATTATTGAATATTGCAAAATTGATCGCCAGAAGGATATTTTTTTCTGATGGAATCCTGTATTCTTAGATATACATTATTAAAATATTTCCATATCCTAGAAAGGCCTTAACCATCGTTCGTGATGTTTCAAGCTTTTCAAGTCGATCAAAGGTACCGGTCTCCTGTTCTCGCTCTTTCTGTCTGTCTTTCTCTCTCTATCTCCTTCTGATTATATTCTCCTCCCTGGTTACGAGTTGGGTCGGGATTTGCATATATGGCATATTCACCGAGAGGGGACGTTCTATTAGACATTTTGGTCCCCAAGCAACCTAGGTATCGCTTTTACGGCTCTTTATTAAATTAAGAATGAAAGAAAAATGTAACCTAACCGCTCGTCTTATTGCCAATAATTTCTTGCTCGCCCTGAACGCTCTTCTTTCTTATATATCTTTGTTATATTAACAAAGAGGAAAAAAATCTATCTGAAGTTTTACTTTATGAATATGTATAAAATACGCTGCCGAAAAAGCTTTGACAGCGACATCATCATAACAGGGTATATGCAATTTGTATAACATAACAACTTAATATGTATGGTGTAAGTAATTTCATCCGTTTGTTGGAATATTTTGAACACACATGCGTTCAAGTGACTGTGCGCATAAACGAAATTGTTTTGTGCGAGTGAAAAGTTTTATTGGCAAAATCTGTTTATGGCTTTTGCATTTTAATTAGTTAAGTTCGCCATTCATTCTTATACGCGTACACATATTACGTGCGAAATTATTTGTTGACAAAGGTTTAAGTTCATTCTTTCCCAAAATCTTTCAAACATATCGCTTGGTTGCTATATAAGGTGAACAGTGTGTGAGTTTTGAATACGCAGCACTTTAATAAACAATTTTTGTGCTAATCGCACTTAAATCTACAAATAACTTATAATAGTAATAATAATGTGTTAGTGTGTGTGTTAGCTAATAAACGGGTCCCGTGAAATTTAGGCAACCATTAATCAAAACAAGAGACTAAGACCCCGTGATACTTAGACAAACATGGATCAAAACAAATGATCGTCACGCGTACATCGTTACTCTAAAATATCTTAAAGGCGCGAACGTGAAAACTAAATGCGATTTGGCTCCATGCCTCATAGCTTTTTATTCTTATGCATGCAAAAGAGTGCGCATTGAATTTGCATAGAGTTAAACATTTGCATAGTGTTCAAAAGGGCATCAAAAATGACAGTATGTACTTACATACATGTATTTTCAGCTCGGTCCGAATAATACAATCGATTAAGCCATACCTATCTGTCCGTCCATTCCCCCCTTGTTGAAGTCAGAATTATGTCTTGTAAAGCTTGTGGACAACAATACATTTGGCCACAAGGAAAGGAAAAAGAAACAAGAAGAAGAGTTGAAAAGTCAACCAAACTGGCCCACAAATCGCCTAGTAATTAACCAAATAGTCCTTTTAGTTAACTAGCGATTAAAGTCATTATTAATTTAATCGGAGAAACAAATTCGAAGACTAAAGTCTTACTTAAACCGTCGCACCTAAGCTAAGGCGCACTTGAGATTCGAACCCACGACCATTGAGTTGTCAGTCACTCGGGATCCTTTGCCTGTTCGGTCATTCTGGTGCTAAACAAGCGTGTGTGTCTATAGTTGCTTATCATATTACTGGTATATCGAAGACTAGTGCATTCAAGACAAGTAGACATTTTCTATTTTAATAAAATACAGTTTCCAATGGCATGCAATTATATGTATCCGCTTTCTCAAGTTGTCCAATCTTAAAATAGCATTTCATTTTAGGACCTCCAGATATAAAAAAAGGAAAAAAAAATTCTTTAAAAAGTTGCTTTAACTAGATCATCAAATTGATAGTAAATTATATGTATTTTTTTCAAGTGGTATCAACAAGGCTATGTACATACGTTACATAAACATAAGTAAAATGTGTATAATCATCATAGCGAGAGGTAATTTTCGATCGTTTTTAAAACCAACGTAATTTCAATTCTAAAAATTTACTCTTTAATTAACGTCAAGTGCAGTGCAATGCATTGCTAGGCTTACCCAAGAATATCAGTAGTTTTGCTACCGAATATGTACATATGTACATATGTACGTATATATATATATATATATGTGTATGCCTTGTATATGTTTTCATGGTTGATGTTGTTATTATCTTTGTTGTTGTTGTTGTTGTTGTTAAACGTAAATATGATTATTTAACGTTTCGCGGTATTTTTTCCTTTTTGCTTAATAGTTTCGTTTTGTTTTTGTATCACTGCTGTTATTTTTACTTCAAAACGAGCTGCAAATGTGCAATTAAAGAAACAGGTTACACGCTCGTAAATACAATTGTAGATATATATATGTATATATATATATATATATATATATATGTTTTTGAGCTGTGTGCTTGTACATGCATTGTATATATACATATATATAATCATGTATATACATATGTGAACAATTTAAATTGTGACGGATTTCTTTTCGTTTTTGAATTGTGAATGTGTTTTATTTGTTGTTGTTATTATTGCTCGCTTACTTGCTGCTGTTTCTGCTTTTTGCCTCTCAAACATATTCACATGTCAGCATTTTTGTGATTGCCTGATTTATTGTCAACAAATCGTTGACAAATAAATTACGTTTTTGCCGCAAAAACATTTTTATGACCATTGCCACTGAACACATACATACATATATATATATATACATACATACATACGTATATACATACGTACATACATACGTACATATATATATATACATATATACATATAGAGAATGAATGACACATACAATTACATTTTCAATTTTCCCCATCTACACTTGGCCTCTCGAGCAGCCCGTGTCACAATGAAACACACCGTCTTTCTCTCTAGTTCATGCGTGCTTAAATACACACATCTATAAATATATACATATTTGTACGCTTGCAAATGGTTGTGATTTGATGTAAAACATTTAAAACAAAAAGGAATAATTGCGCATTGCAATGCGGTTGGCCGGCCATTTATTTGAATGGTTGTTCTCTTTATAAGGTATTAAAACTTAATACTTGTTTATTTAGGAAAAATTGTATGCTGTTGCAAACATAAAATAATATGACCATGATTGCTTCAGAATCAACACAAATAACCACTACCAAAAAAACAAAAAAAATAATAAAAAAATCTGACATTAATTAAACGAAATTATTGCCAATAATTCACAAATCGAGGCTTTTGTTTAATAAAAGTCAGCGAAACGAAAACAATTAAACCTAACGAAAACATTTTTCGTTTAAAGAAAGAAACTGATTTTTGTGCTCGCCACCCAGTGCATGATCAGCAATGTGTTTGGCAACGCTCTAAAATACATATGCTACAAATTGTCTAAAAAATGGTCGCCTCTTACAGATGTTATTTTCGGATACTTTATTAAGACTAACATATATGTATTTATGTTGCAATGCGTCAGCGAATACTTATTCCATAACATGCTAGGCTAGCCAACACTTCATATTTTGTAAAGCATCGCCAGCTATAAGCATAGATGACACTGAAGATCACACATATGTCCTTATTCAAGGCATTACGATGTAGTGCTTCCACAAGCAACATTGCTCGATAAACTTTTGCATAGGCCGTGCGGTTCTCGATGCGAAAAGGCCGTGATCTTCGTTCGAAAAAGTTATGCGATGCGTTCATTATAAACCCTTTTGCAAACTCATACAACACTATATATAAAAAACTCTACAGTAGTAAAGAAAAATCTTATTTTTATCTTCCGTTCTAGATTCTTCTTCTGCCGGCGCTCTTCCCGACATCCATTACAAAAATGCTTGGCGAAGTCAACAAGCACATTAAAAGTATCCAGACTTTGCTGTGAATTTTGCTGAAGATTGTTACAAAGTAAGTTATTTAAATCCTTTCTAGTTATTCAAAGCGCTTTTCAAAAACTAGTACACTGCGTAGAGCTAGTGGCCCCTTTAATATGTGCTCTTATCAAACACGTACATAGGTCATGCTGGCTATCAATGCTTGTAGCACTCAGTCCAAACAAAAAGAAAACAAAATTTGAATATTTTTTAAGGGGTAATGAGCGCTGTCTGAAGAACTCTCTTCCTGCAAACTTGTTCCTCTTCTCTTACATGGCGATGTCCAGAACGCTTTATTGGCCTCAAAAAGTTCATTTTTTAAATCAGGTCGCTACTCAAGACCTGTGTTATTATTACTTTTTTATATTTATTAAGATCGATCAGTCAGGGCATATAGGACGCTACGCCTCTTTCATAGTAGCTCGCTACAACGACTGCAAATTTCTGAATTATGTTAATACTCTAGAAAAGGTTCCACAAACTATATATGCAAAGAAATTTACTCCGCCGGTGTCGGTCATTACGTCCCTGACATTTTGTTGAAAAACTCTACGCAATTAGAACAAATTAATAATTCAGGAATGTAGAATATAAAGTCTTGAGGACGTATTTTGAGTGGCATCAAAAAAGTCATAAGCTTTTTTTTATGGTTTCGTGACTTAACAATGCCTTTCCATAACAAAATTGACATTTGGGAAGTGTTATTATGATCCCAGAATGCCAAATTCAGCAAACTTGACAAGAAAATGCATTCTTTCCTCTTAAGAGTAGTGATCCATCACAACATAAGGTGCTAGTTGACGTTCACTAAGCATATTTAAATTAAAACAAAAGTAAAAACAATTTATGAGATCAGGGCCCTTATTATATACCCTACACCTCTTCACCGAGTACCATTATTCCTATAATCGCTTTTTAAAATAAGACGTTGTATGAGAACTTGGAATATGTATGAGTAAACGTAAGAAGGAACAGGTACAAGTACTATATTGAACCGCTGCCTATGATTAAATACACTGCACAACTTTGTATGGGAAGTGGTACTCTACATTACTCCACTATTATTGATATAAGCCCTTTTTAAAATAAGATTTTATATGGGACGTGAACGAAAAAGTGAAGAAAAGTCCGATCTAAATCATTTTCAACAGCATTAGACCTTGTGGACGGCAAACTTCATCGTAGGATCCCAAAAATAGCGACCTTTAGGTTGAACGCAAGAATACAGGACGGACGGACGGACAGACAAGCTTAGATTGATTGGAAGTGATTCTGAATCGTCAGGTACACAAAAATAAAGATCTATCTCAAGTCCTTCTGGATGTTGCGAACAATCCTCCTACTATAAGTGGCCCATGATAACAAAAAAAAACAAAGAAACCAGTTACAAAAGCTAACGGGGGTAACGTTTAAAATAGTTTTGTATTAGTTCACCAAATCTCATGAATCCGTTACATGTTTTTGAAAAAAGTGGAGGACTTAATATGGAAATTCGCAACAATCAGTGAACTTTTCACTTGATCAGCTGAAAAAGGAAAGAAAGCAAACTATAAAATCACTTGCTTCTAAATTTAACAATTCACTCAATTATGTAAAGTTTATATATTGCAATACACAAAAGACCAATTAACCATTTAAGAAAAAGGTATCGTGATAAGGAAAAGTCAATATATTCTAAACACCTCAACTTCTGCTCTGGTTTTTCTTTGCATTTATTTTTTTTTTTTTGCGTTTTTTTTTGTAAATTTTATATAATAAAATTTAATTAATGGCCTCCACTAAATGACTAACATGCAATATAGCCAAGAAAGAGAAATGTTTTGAAGTGAATCGAAAGGAGAAAAAACTTTGCTAACTTGACAATGTGGACATTAGACAAACCTTTAAAGCCGTTGTTATCAGATTTTTCACGAATTTTGTCATACTGTTAGAGTTTGTTTTATGTACGTCATTAGATTAAAATCAGTCACATAAAAACTGTAAAAGAGAGAGAAAAAATAACCAACAGACAGAGAAACAGGCCACCACCACCACCACCACCACCACCACCACCACCACCACTACCACTACCACCACCGCCATCACTGAAGCTTTAAATAATAATAAAAGAAAAAAAAAACAGAATTTTTTTTTAAATGGAAAAAACAAACTGCATGTCAAAGACTATTAGATAAAATGTATTTACTTTTGAGACCAAGGCGAACTTCACAAATTTCGTACTGTAGAAAAGCATAGAAAAGTCTTGTTTGCAAATGTGAAACCGTTAGTGAAGCTTAGTAAGCAAAAAAGAAGAAAAAAAAGTTAAACTAAAACAAACTTATTATGCAAACGTTTATAAATGAAATAGACATGAGTTTTTTTTTCTTTTTGTTTTTTTTTTGGTGTGTGCGATGTACATATATACATATGTATAATAATGTATATATATATATACGTATATGTATAGGTTTTTTGTTTTATTTCTCTTTTTGTATTTTTTTTTTTTTTTTGTACCATTTCTGTATTGCATATGTATAGAGGAAATCAAGGAAAGGGTTTTAGAAAAACCATACAAGTAAGGTAAAGCATATATTAAGCGTTTTGTTGTATTTTTTTTTTTTGTCGACCAAGTATAGTCAGCAAAGTATGACTTTAATGTATAACTATAGCAGTCACCTTTGAATGCATACATAAGTAGTAAGTATGGTGCGCGCTTGGTGTGTAAGTATGTATATGCGATTTATACATACCTCGATAGGTGCTTAGTTAGCCTCATTTAGCAAACATTCGTTATGCAATGCCAACATTTGTATTCGCAACAAAAATGTTTTATTTTTTTAACTTTTTTGTTTTTTTTTTTTTTTCTTTTTTACTTTTTTTATACATTCACTCTGACTTTTTCTCTCTTTTTCCTAGATTTTCCAAAGGTCTACAGCACCATTGTTGGTTTATTTTTTTAATAGATTTTTTGTTTATTTCTTTTTTTTTCTTTTCATTTTTTGTTGGTGAGTAGGTATAAAAAGTAAAGAACTGTTGTTGTCATTGTATTTTTGGTGTTGCTGGAAGGCCTCATGCTGCCGCTTTCAGCTGTTTGCATTTTAAATGCAACGATTTCCTTTTTACGGAGTTTTATATATGTATATATATATATATATATATATATATCATGCCTCTCTTCACGTTAATTTGGTTCATTGCTATTTGTACAGCTTACTCTATGTACTATGGAGCTTCATTCGCTTGCTTTTTTGTAAGCAATACTCAGGGCGATAACTGTGCCGGCTTATCATGCCATTTGTAACTCTCCAAAAATGGATCAAAAATAAGCCTAACATTACGTTCTATATGCCTGAAAATCATAAGACTCTGTTTGGATCAAATGAAGTTCAAAGGATGGGTAACAACATGGCTTAGATTTAGAACGTTCTCTTCAAGCACCTAGAAATCATCAGAGAACATATTATTCTGAGGGTAAGGGTCTGCTAAAATGAAATAATTTTCCTTTTAAGGATTACTGCACTGAAAATTTTTTAAAGTATTTCCCACTATGCAGCACCAAAAATTACTCATCAAAGATCTTTTAAGGATATTTCTTTGATCAACGTAGGTCAAGCCACATCCACTTGGCCGACTATTTATATTTTATCATTTTCAAAAAATTATTGCGCACAAAACTTGTTGTGCTTGATTCTTTTCGCCATACAAAAATTGAGATAAATAACTGTCATCCTAGTATTTTTCGATAGAGCAAGGGCGAAAGATGGCACGACTCTAGCTACGAGATCCTTAAAGCAAACCGGAAATATTCGATGTAGTAATGTACGATTCATTAACTCAGTAGGTTGCCAGCAGCAGCGAACATTTGTTTATCTGGTATTAAACTAAATAGGGAGCTGAGTGCAAAGCAACTTGGTTTAAGTTCATGCAAGACGCTTAGAAAAGAGCGTAGGTCATTCACCAGTGCAGATAAACAATATTGTAAGAATAAAAACTTCGAAAGTTTCCTACCAGCGGCACCAATTCTCCCTCTATAATAGAATTTGATCTAAAACGTAATGTAATTATGTTCATGTCCGACGGAACTTGGTAACGCTTGAGCTACGTTTAACACGCTTTGAATTCAAGAAAAAAAAAGAGTTCCAATCATGTCTAAGATATCGAGTATCGGAAGTTCTTCTCAATCTGAACAATATGTTTTCTTTTCCTGTTTATTAAACACAAACGCCATGGCTAACAAAACAGTGTCGTCAACTTGGTTAAATGCTTTAAATTGCAAAAATTCGCTACCTTTCGTACAGCAGTAGAATAAAATGTATGCATAGTAAGAATAGGGAATTGCAACGCCGCATACAGCAGTACCCCACCAACAATTCGACGCCATAACTGAAACCACTTGAAAGATGTTAAAAAGTTAGGATTTCGTGATTTTAGCATTTGAATGCTATAAAGTGATTTGCTTGCATGAAGGTGTGCAGAATATGTAGACATACAATACAAATAGAATGCATGTACACAGGGTATTCGCCATAAAGGTTTACCATTTCGTTTGGACTCATTTCGATGAAGGTTAACAGATCGTCGTACTCGACAATCGGCAAAACATACGAATAAAAACTGAAGAGATACGTTATAGAAGCTAGTCGCAGGGAATCGTACGCAAAAGAAACAGTCCATAGCGAAATTTAGAGCATAATTGACATCAATGCTGCCCCTTGTTGAAATTATGAGAAAAGAGTTGATGACCTTTAAGTCTACACTTCAAATCCTCTCCAAGAACAAGAAGAAGAATAGAAATTACTCGCGTGAAGAAAAGCATTCCATTTGATTTATTTAAGGCAAAGTTGATGCAGAATTATACTCCACAGAGCCATTAACGAAACCTATCATACGTCAAGAAATTGTGAAAAGGAGAGTTCAGAAATTTTAAGCCTACACTTCAAAACCTCTCAAAGAACGGAGAAGACAAGAATCTCGTTTGCTTTCACTTAAGGCAGCGTAGTTGCTAGGCTACGCTCCCAGAAATCGATAACCATATATGGCGTCGAAAATCCTATA